CCTCCTGGATTCAGGCTGGAATGGAACCTTTTATTCCTTCTTGCCGGTTTCAAGTCAAGCCTCATTCTACTCCATGGTTTTCTCCTTCTTGTGCGGCTGCTATATCCAATCGTAATCATTTTTTTCATCTTTTTCATAAGAACAACTCTCTTGAGAACAAATGGCTATTTATTATTGCAAGAAATCGATGTAAAAAGGTGCTTTCTGATGCTAAACTCCATTACTCTCAGTTCACTAAATCTCGCATCTTATCACAGAAGTTAAGCTCTAAAGACTTTTGGAAAATCTTCAACAGCATTTTTAACAAGAGTAGATCTAACATTCCATCTCTCATCCATGGGACTGATCTTATTACCTCTCCCAAGGATAAGGCAGAACTATTTGCAAAGAACTTTTCTTCTAATTCCACTCTTGAATCTTATGGACATTCTCTTCCTTCCATTCCAGTCAAACAGGTTGACCCATTGTTAGACATTCAAATCACTCCGGCTTCTGTTGCTAAAGTCATACCTCAGTTAAACTCGTCTACAGCTTGTGGTCCAGACAACATTCCTGTCACAGTCTTGCAGAATTGTTCTCCAGAACTTTCTTCAATTCTCTCTAAACTATTTAACAAGTGTTTGACTGAGTCTTGTTTTCCTGCTTGTTGGAAAATGACATCTGTGGTTCCAATATTCAAAAACTCTGGAGAAAATTCTGACCCCTCCAATTATCGTCCGATCAGTCTTCTCTCTGTTATTAGCAAGGTCTTTGAGTCTTTGATCAACAAATTCCTCACATCTCATCTTGAGTCAAATAAACTATTGTCAGACAATCAATGCGGTTTTCGATCCTCTCACTCTACGGCCGACTTGCTAACTGCTGTAACTGAAAGATTTTATCGTGCATTAGATGGAGGCAGTGAGGCTAGGGCTATTGCTCTCAACATATCTAAAGCTTTTGACAAAGCTTGGCATGCTGGTCTTCTCCATAAGCTTGCTTCATATGGTGTTTCTGAGAAAGTTTTTGAGATTATCAAATCATTTCTTTCTAACCGGTTTAATAAAGTAATCCTTAAAGGCCAACACTCTGCTTTATTTCCAATAACTTCTGGGGTTCCCCAAGGTTCCATTCTGGGCCCTGTTTTGTTTCTTATCTACATAAACGATCTTCCTGACAACCTTTCATCTAAAGTAGCTCTTTTTGCTGATGACTCAACTTTATACTCCTGTCTTGACAAAAAGTCTTCTCTTTTCGATCGCCTAGAACAAGCAGCTAATCTTGAATCTGATCTCACTTCAGTAATAGATTGGGGTTCACAGTGGCTTGTGAATTTCAACTCTAAAAAAACCCAATTGCTTACTGCAAACAACTACCGTAATATGGTCAACATTCCTATATTAATGAATGGCAATCCTCTTACTGAGTCGTCCTCTTTACGTCTTCTTGGATTATCGCTTACTACTGACCTTTCATGGCAACCATATATACAATCGATTGCTAAATTAGCTTCTGCTAAGGTTGCTTCTCTTTATCGTGCTCGCCATTTCCTTACTTCTGATTCCATTCTCTACCTCTACAAATCTCTTATTCGTCCCTGTATGGAATACTGTTGTCATATTTGGGCTGGTTCTTCTAACGATTCACTTTCTCTTCTTGACAAAGTCCAAAAACGGATTGTAAATGTTGTTGGACCCAGGACCTATCTGTTAAGCTTAAGCCTCTTTCCCATCGTCGTAAAGTTGCATCTCTTTCACTTTTCTACAAATACTATCATGGTCACTGCTCAAAGGAATTATCATCTCTAGTTCCATCAACTAAAATTCATTCTCGTTTTACTCGTCATTCAGCTAAGTCTCATTTGTTTAGTGTATCTGTCCCTGCATGCTCTAAAAACTTTTATTCATCTAGTTTTTTTCCCTGCACTTCAATCCTTTGGAACTCTCTCCCATCTTCATGTTTTCCTGACTCATACAACCTTCAACTTTTCAAGTCTTCTGTCAACCGTTTACTTGCTCTATAACTCTGTTCTGTTTTTTCCTAGTAACTCCCAACTTAATAGTGGTTGCTTGCAGCCTTGTTGGGAGTGAATGCAAATAAAAAAAAATCTAATTTTTTGTTTGCCATTATTTGTCAGTGTATCTCTTTGACAATTTTTTTAAGAGTTGAGCAACACAAATAAGTTTCAAGACAATTTTGTATTGAAAAGCTGTTGGAATTACTTGTTTTGAGAACGTACCACTTATATATTTTTTACCACTTAAATATTTTTTAAGTAATTCTGGGTAAATCGCAATTTCATTTTAAAAGTTTTTTATTAAGAAGAAACTTAATTTGTAATATTTGGTTGTCTTCAGAATAATACCAGATGTAATAAGTTTCCACCTTGATTTTCTTCCTTGGCTAAATACATGTAATCCACATAGTACCTCTATAATTTCATTGAAAAAAGCTATTTGTTTCATTGTAAATTTAATGATTTTTTATACTAAAAGCCATAGTAGGATTTCGTAATGTCATAGGTATAAATCATTTATCAACAATTCAGTTAAACCATCTTTTTTATTGGCAATAAATTTTAATCCACAACTTACGTTTTTAAGTAAACTTCAAATCCATATTTAGAGTCTCAACAAGTTTGTGCAGGAATTTTGAATCTATAACTAGTGATAGAAGTATATATATATATATATATATATATATATATATATATATATATATATATATATATATATATATATATATATATATATATATATTGAATTCCAGCTGTAATTATGAAAGGCTTGTTACATACACAGTGCTCCCCTGCGACCGCCAGGGTAGATTTTGGTTTAGTCTAAATTTTTTTTTCTGGATTTTAAAAACAATTCAAAACTTCTTTTTTAAACCTAATAATAACTTTCAGCCAAAAATTGAACTAAACCAAAATTTACCCTGGCGGTCGCAGTGGAGCACTGTGCATAAGAAAGATGTACTTGTATTCTTCGATAAATGTAGCACATTTGCTAAAAAATCAATAGAACAACTTGAGTCACATGGATGTTTATTTTAACTGAAAAAATGATAACTTTACAGCTAATGTTAAAATATCTCCACATTGACTGGTTATTTGCACTTTTATAAACAGAACTTTTACTATAATAATATGCTACAGTTTATTTTCATCTCGTAGATATTCCTCTAAGCATAAAACTAAAGTATGGTTAGCTTGGCCATAATGTTAAGGTAATCTATTCCATAGGATGAGATTAATATGAGTTAAGACTTTCAGTTATTGACATTTCAGCAAGAATTAAAGCACATTCTTTTTCATGAATTTTCATGATATTTATTTTAGTTTTAATAAACTTTTACAAATATTTTATAAAAATTTAGTAGCAAGTTCACTCGCAGTAAGTTTTTTTTTTATAGCAAACACATGGCGTCAAAAACCATAAAAATCGAACATCCAATCAAAGACGATCACTTGAATGTCCGCTCTTTGAGTATATAGGCTCTCTAGACTATACTACCACTATTATATGTTTACCATTTGATAATTTTATTTTTAGTTTAAATTATTATTTTTCTTATTTAGAAAAGCAATATTAGTTATAAATTTAAAGAAATTGTTATATTTATAACTTAACTTCACTTAGCTAGATTGTTAATAGCTAATAAGTCAGCTCATCAAAACTGTTGCTAAGTAGTTTCAGGATATTTTTTGTGTGAATTATGTAAACCATAACATTTTTTGTTTTATTTTAAAATTAGTAGTAGTGATTACTACTCTACTTAATTTTTAGAATATTTAAAAAGATTTTATAATAAAACACAAAAAAGTTTTTTTATTTTAGTTAGGTATTACTTTTTTGTGGTGTATGAGCAAAAAGTTTAAATGGCTACTTTTTAAAGAGTTTTATGTCTGATCATGTTTAAATAATAGATTTTTAAAGCTTTACAATCAATAAATAATTGTTGCTAACTATTCCATTATGTTCCACCTATTTGCAAAATGTGAAAAATTGGTTAGTTAAGAGTTGCGTTACTTTTCGTTGTCAAAGCTTACTTTTAGAAAATGTTTTTTTGTTTTCTTATAAACTTTAAGATATCTATAAAAAATAGTGTTAATTTTAATTAGTTTATCCACAACTAGCATTTGTTTCTTAAGTACCCCTATTTATCATGCTTTACCCTATTCAATATAGGGAATATGACCTTGCAGCATCTGGGATGTAGGTGGATGCAGACAATCTATTTGCCTAATATTAGTTAAAGTACTGAAGTATGCTTTTAAATTGATTTCTTTCCACTGTGGTACGGCAAAAACTTGAATCCAGTACTGAAAACACTTAAATCCAGTACTAAAAAAAATTTTTTTTAGCATGAAAAATCTTAAAAAACCTTTTAAAAAAGTAAGAAAAAAAAAATACTAGAAAAATAAAAATCTGTGTAATTTTGGAACTTTAAAATAAAGATAAAGAGGATTATTTTAAAATCAGAACTCAAATATTTTCACAGTAGAATCATAAACTTATTATTATAAGCTATTTAAATAGAATTTATTACGATATTTTTTATAGCCATGAGATTTTGGTTTTGACCATACAAAAAAATTACTATTAAATAAAAATTGCTATAAAGATTTCAAAGGATTTTTTTAAGAGGAAGATTTTTACCGTCAGTTTTATTATTGCTAATGAACTAAATGTGAAAAACAAACAAGACATATTTTACATTGAAATTTTGTTAAACATAATTAAAAGCAATTTACTCAATTTAAACAAATTTTACAAAACCTTCAACATATATAGCAGTTTTTTTAACATCAATAACATAACATATAGATATTTCAGAACAGTGCCACCAATGACATAACATATAGATATTTCAGTACAGTGTCAACAATGAAATAACACAGATATTTCAGTACAGTGTCAACAATGATATAACATTAAGATATTTTAGTAGTGTCAACAATGACATAACATATAGATATTTCAGTACAAAAAAAATAATTAAAAAATAGTTTTGCTTACTTTTAAAACAATCAAGCCTGTGTTTAATGTTAATGCTTTACGCAAATGACAAGCACCATCATATGATATACGATTGCAGCTAAACATAACATTTTTAATACATACATAAATAAACCCACATTTGTGCCTGTAATTATGTATGTATAATAACATAATAAAAATATTATGTTTAAAGGTTTGATAATCATCAATTAATAAATATTTATGCTAAATTTATAAATGGTAAATTAAAAAAAAAAAAAAATTATTTTCTGAGCTAACAAACATTATAACAAAGTTACAGATTCTGATTGAACTAATGATATAAATATATATGATAAATATGAATACAACATGCCATATATAAACATATGTATAAACATGTATATATATATATATATATATATATATATATATATATATATATATATATATATATATATATATATATATATATATATAATTATTAAATAACTGACAAGGGTTAATTCTCCAAATAAATAGCTTATTGCTATGGATACCAATTCCTATACATGCTTGAGTCAAGTTCTGAAGCTTAGCATTTTGCAATGTTATACTCATTAAAACATGTCTAGTTTTCACACTTCTAACTATCTTCCAGTCATTTGCCTTGCTATTATTAGCAAAAATTTTGAGTATTTTTTTAAAAGAACTTCTCATGTTTCTAATTTATTAAAGAACTTCTTATATCTCTAATAAACCCTTAAACCCTTAAACCCTTAACTCATACACAACATTCTGAATAAATTTTTTAAAATAGAAGTTATTTTTGACTTATCATTATCATTGAGATGGCAGTTTAATTTAAATTTCTTTAATTCTTAAAACAGCATTTTAAACAAAGTAAAAAATCAAGATCAAGATGAGAGTAATTTGGATCCTGTGAACTGCAATCGCACCCCTTTATGAAAGATATAAACAAAATGTTGAAAAAAACAAACAAACAAAAAACAAACAAAAAAAACAAAAAAAAAAAAAAAAAAAAAAAAACAAAAAAAAAAATATGCATTAAAATAACAGAACTAGAATCAAAAATAAAAATATTTTTTATTGTTATTCTAACTGTAATATTGTTGTCAATTAGACATTTTTCTTATCTTTCATCAATCTTTTAATTTCTTTACTTTTAATGATTTACTAATAATTGTTACTAATTTACTAATAATTGTTATTACTTATTAGAAATTTTGTTAAAAAAAATCAAAAGGTTTTCTTCAACAAATTTTTTTCCTTAATGGCATTTTATGTTATGTTAATGTTTCTTATGTTAATGTTTTTGTTGATGGCATTTATGTTTATGTTTTTTTCCATTGCATAAACAAAATTTAGAATTGAAGATCTGGTAGAATTGAAGATCTGGATTTAATTTAGGTGATCAAAAAATAAACCAAATTGAAACTTACACATCTGTTAATTTATAATTTTTTAACAAAAAGTATTCCTGTGGAATTTTGAAATTATTTTGAAACAATTTTTATTTAATATATATCATAGTGTTTGAATTATATGGATGGACAAAATATTGTGGAAATTTTTCTCATTTTTTACCTTTAATTAATTCAAATTACTACATTATTATTTAAAGGGAGAAAAACTTTATAAACCTTAAAATAAACCAATTAAAGTCAATTACAATTGACTTAAATAAGAGGAACATGCAGAAATTGTATATACAATAACTGATTTGAATAGGGAAAACATAGAGAAAGTACATAAATCAGTTGAGGATCTGGGTTGATAATCCTAACCCTGGTGTATGTACCTACATATTCTTCTATTTAATTCAGTCAATGTATGTACACAGTACAATGTATGTACTGTGTCATATCATTTGGTCCCAAAATATCATGATAAATATTAAATTTTAAGCTTGTTAAGAGCAAACTTAAAAGTTTAAATAATTTTTTATAAACTTAAGTACTTAAGACATCAAAGACAAAGTAAAAAAGGAAAATATCAAGATCTTTTGTAATTAAAAACATTTGAAAAACTATACAGTGAACATGCACATCGTTAATAAAACCAGATATTTTAAAAACAAAACAAACTTCTACGGTTAGTTTACGACAAGAATACAGCTTGTCTTAGTACTTAGGGATCCCTTTAAAACTTCAAAGAAATTTCAATAAATTTCTTTGTAAATTGGTTGTAATTAAGTAGAAACTTATATCTGTATTAATAATAGAAAGAAAAAAGAAAACTATGAATATTAAAAACCATAGAATTTTAATAAGTAGCAAAAATATAAAAAAAAAAATTATAGATGACAATATTTTAAATTACAAAATGATTTATAACAAATAAACTATAAAGAATTGTCATTTTCGGTTATTACACTTTACAGATAAATTTTTACAAAACAAAGCAATCACAACATTAAAAAAAGTTAATTATTTCTGTTTGTACAACACTCAACACTTCTGTTTGAGTGTTGTACAAACAGAAAAACATTTGAGATTTTACTAATATTAAAATATGATTTTGTTAATATATATTAATAAAAACATTATTAAAATGTTACTATACTATTAGATAGTTACCTTATATCAAGATGTTGTAAAGAACTGTTAACTTTTAGAGATTCAGAAAGAACAAAAATGCCATTATCAGCAAACCCATTCCAAGATAAGTTGAGCTTTTTCAATGATATATTTTCCTAAAATCAATAATCAATATATTTTTTTAATAAAGTTTTTAAATTTTAGTAACAACAATAACAAAAAAACAGATTTGTAAACAAATAGTTAATTTGATATCTCAAAAGAACTAGATACAATAATAAATAGAACTCAGAGATAAATAGAACTACAATATATTATTTTTTTTCAACAAAACACACTTCTACAAATAAAATAAAAAATTTTACTTTTAAGGCCAATCCAATAGCACAAGCACCTTTCTGACGAATATGATTCCAACTTAGATCAAGTTCTTCTAATGTTTCATTTACTGCTATAATTATAAAAATAAATTTAACATATATAGTAGATAAAAAAAAAAAAAAAAGGAACTAGATACAACACTAATTTGCATCAGTAGACTCATTATGACAGAAAGATAACAAATGAATTTTTTTAGTTACATAAATTAACCACATAAATAAAAACCACAGCATACTGCATGACTAAAAAATCAATCCCATATTGCGAATATTATAAAAAGTTATAAACTTGTTTAAATAAGTCAGATGTTGAAAATAATGACAAAAATATTTTGCAGGTTACTATTTTTTGTATTGTTAGAAAAATATGTCTTTAAAAAATCAATGTTATTTACACATAAGTTTACCCTTATAAACAAAGTTTTCAAACCTGGGGATAACTCCAAAAAAAAGCAGGTCATTAACAGAGTATCCATACTAAAAAAATATGGGCGGCTAAGTGGTATTGATACTCCTATAGTCTGTCTTACTATAAAATCTGCATCAAAGTTTACTTTAAATTTAAAAATGATATTGGGAGTTAAAGAGACGTTAACCTCAAAAATATTAAAACAAATCATTCAAAACAAAAGCATGAGTTTTAAACTCATTAATTACTCATGTAACACATTTTTAAGTTTTACATTTTAAACGCGATGCGTTACAAAGGAAGTTCCCCAAAGGCTTATTAATTATTTACAAGAAATTCTTTTGTAATCCTACCACTGTCTGTAATGTCTACCACTGTCTATAGATTTTCAAGTCATTAAATTTTTTTTTTTAATATTAAAGAAACACACAATATATAATCAATGTTTTTGTTGTTAATAAATATTTTTTTGGCTTTTACTTTGTTTTAGGCTGTTGGGTTCAATTTTGAGTTGTTTGCTGTTATAACTGATTATAAAAAGTACATTCATACCAAGTTATGAAAAGTCTTTAACATTAATTTTATTAACTAAAAGCTAACATAAAACATTTTCATTTTAAGTATCATTTACTTAAAGTTAAAATAGTATATAAAGAATAAATGGTAGGGGGTAAGACACAGATTTAACATGACCTATTTTACAAGCCAAAACAGCTATTACAATTATAATAAAGCATTGTAAAAACATTAGCTATTTAAACGTCTGTAAAAAAAAACCTATTATAGAAGCAAGGAGGAGCCCAGCTTCTTCTCCAAAAGAATTGTGACTTAGATTGAGCTGCTTTAAACATTTACCATGCTAAAAAAAAAAAAAAAAAAAAATGTATTTTACCATTTTAATATTCAATTATGATACAAAAATAGGCAAAAAATATCTTGAACTTTTTGGTGATCAAAACTTTCAGGAATAAACTATAATTAATGAAGCCAGATAAAAAAAAAATACACTAAATAGTACAATTTCTACAAGGATAAGTTTAAATCGATATTAACAAAAATGTAATAACATAAAGTTACAACTCTTAACACCTATATCACTTTATAGTCATCAAATCATGTAAGATATTGAGAATCATCAAATCATGTAAATCAGGTCATTAAATAATGTAAAATATTGAGAAGAATATGCATAAATAAGTAAGAAGAAGAATATGCATAAATAATTTATGATTAGAGAATTATTTTTACGAAAAGAAAACATCAAAACTACTTTTTTTCTGGTTTGAAATTCAAAGTAAAATTCAAATTGACTTTCTTTTTTGTGGTTTAAAGCAGGACTCGAATTAAGTAATTGCAAATTGCAATATCTGGAAATGTTTCCAGTCTTTAAATTTTTAGCTTAAACTCTGTTTTGATCACTAAACTCAATAGCTGTTATTCAATAAAAAATATTTATATTGAATTTTGATATAAAATCTTATAAAACCATATTAACACTATTATTTTTAAAATCATTAAAAATTATGATTTAAACTTTAATATTTTAATTGATTTTATAAATCATCAGATAAAACTAGAAAAATAAAGCACAATAAAGTATGGTATAATTATTTAAAACAACTGCATATTACAACAGTCTAAGGGAACTTAGCGGTGATCAAATATTTAACATAAAAGAAACCGTGAAATAAGATAAAATTCTTTTATATCTTATTTAAATCTTTTTCAATATTTTCTTATAAATTAAATACTCATAACTAAGGTATAATTTCAGATAAGTCCTTACAAAATTAAAGTTTAAAACAAATTTATAAAACCTAATTTAAACTTTTTATAGTTATTTAAAAAAGAAACAAAAAAACTCAAATAACTTATTTCAAAATATCTTTTTTAATATTATTTTTATTACCAATTAATTAATTTCTAATTTAAAGCATTTTAATTTTTAAATAAATAATTCCTTAAACTTTCCTCCTAAACAATAATTGTAATTGTTGTTTCTTTTAATGTGCAAATAGCTTTAGCATAATTTTTTATTGGTTGATTTTTAAATTACTGCGCAGATTTTTTGGACCTTTTATATAATTTTTTATTGGATGATTTTCAAGTTACTGCACAAACTTTTTGGACCTCGAGTAATTATTATAATTTTTTTATAGTATTTTTTTCATTTATAATACTTAAATTATAATAGTATAATACCTGGTGTTTAAAAAAAAATAACTTTAAATATGTAAGTTTTGACTGTTATTATTTTTGCAGTAGTAAATTTGTTTTGTTTTTTCATTAATTTTTGCGTTAAATTGACCATGTTATTAAAACAGTATTTACAGTTTTTATTAAACTGATAATTTAATGGCCAGAAATATTTTCAGATATTTCAACTCGCAATGATTTAAATCGAGCCTTGCAATGAAGAATAGACTTTTTACTTGACCTAAGTGAACTTTAGAAAAAATTGTTCTAGCTTGAAGGGTACCAAACAAACTGGTGTCTCTCATTTAAAGGGATCTCAAACTCCCAACACATGTTGTGTTCATATTTAAGATAGTGTTAAAAAAAAAAGTTTGAACCAAGTTTTTTTGATTAAAAATAAATAATGAATGCATACCGAGAAAAACCAATGTTGTTGTTTTAGCCGAAGCTCGTCTTCTCCATTTTATTCAAAAACTCTTTAAATTATATGTCGCAATCTACAGACTATAGTGATTCTTTTGAAGCGCATTTAATTCATAAAAGTTTTATTATTTGAGCTCACCGTAAGTTTTTAACAAATGAAAAGTGTAATTAAACAAAGCTGCGTTTTTCTACTTTAATTCAAAAAGCATGATGTAGTATTTTTTAACATACAGCAAAACAAATTTATTTTTATTATTTTTCCAAACATCGCAAAAATTTTTTTGCAAAAAGTAAAAATAAATTATTTTTATTATATACAAGCAACTTTTTTTTTACAGATATCTTAATAATTTTTCCATTTATATATCTTGCTTATATTTCTTTTGTTTTTAAATTAAAACAAATATTAAAGCTTTACTTACCAATCTTATGATTTTCATGAGTATTTTACATTATATAGAACATTATATATATGGTCTCTTGTTTTTGTGCAAGAGAGCGCAGTATTATATATTTTGAACCTTATTTATTTTCATTTAAACAACCTATTTTTTAACTTCTCTGGTCATTTTTACGCTATGACTTTTTTTGTTTTCTCCTCGAAAAAAAGTATTTATTAACAATTACTTTCATTAACTGACAGTATTAATTTGAAATATTTGATGAACTGTTAAACTTTTTATATAATAAAATTTTTTTTGATTTTAAATTGCTAAATTTGCTGAATTTATGTGTTGTATTTGGCATTTGTCTCTAAACAAAGAAAATTAAAAAACTAACAAAATTGACAAATACAAGTTTTTAAGTAATTTTCTCTTCCAATTCTTATTTATTCAAAGAATAGTTACAATTAAACTTTTCTTTCAACTTTAAAATTTTCTCTCAACTTAAAAAAGAACAAGGGACGCAAAAAAAAAAAAAAAAAAAGAAAATATATGCTATACAACTATTGTTCAATCGAAGTTTAATTACACAAAACGTTTCTTTCTCTTTTGTTCTACTCTTTAATAAAAAAGCGTGCAATGAAATAAAAACTTTAAGATAAAATTAAATTAGAAATAAATCAACAATGACCAAAGCAACAAACAGTTTAATCTGGGAGTATTTTGATATTGATGAAAATAATCAACATTACCAACAACAATAATCAAATAAACAACACAATAACGCATAATTTTTTTTATTTCTATTGCTTAGTCGCTCTAAATAATAAGTAAATTTAGTTCAAGTTAATATTTCAATATTTACAGTTGAAATATAATAAAAAAAGATGTTTAATGTTGAACTTTTTACTTGGTAATTTATTTTTTTACCTACATTTATTATAAAAAATTTTTGAACCCCCGTCATTAAAATAATTTGTATAAATATATTTTGATGTGATTATTAAAGCTAATTTTTTTGATTGACTTCCCGAACTTCATGCAAAGCAAATTGAGACGAAATATTAACTAATCAAATAAAAATGTTGTTACTAATTTTTTCAGGTAATTAATATAAAACAAATTTTTATCAAAGTCTTGATTGTGATAATAAATATTCACCAGTTATTAACATATAGCGCAATAACAATTTATAGCAATAATCCAGCATAAATGTTAAGTAAAAAATAAATAAACAAATAATAAAAACATTAACAAATAAAAATAAATACAAATTTTCTAGAGTTTTATTTGTCAAAAGTCTATCGTGACGTCAAATACTAAAACTTTTATGAATTAAACGCACTTCAAAGGAATCGCTGAAGTCTGTAGATTGCAACGTATAATTTAAAGACTCTTTAAATTATTTAATCTAAAGTTTTTGAATAAAATGGAGAAGGCGAGTTTCAGCTAAAACAACAACATTAGTTTTTTTCCGTATGCATTCATTATTTATTTTTAATCAAAAGAACTTAGTTCAAACCTTTTTTTTAACATTATCTTTAATATGAACACAACATGTGTTGGGAGTTTGGGATCCAATTTAACAATTTTTGTGTAATGTTGTCCATAATTCTTGCAATCCCCATTATAGTAGAAGATTAAAAAAATAAAAAAAAAACGAGTTTTTTTAAAATTTTTTTTTTAAAAAAAAAAACATTAAATACCTTTTTTAATGTTTTAGCAAGGATATCAGCACTTGAAGTTTCCAAACCGTTACCTAGGATACCATAAAATACAATGTAAGTCATATTAGTGTTTTTAATCAATTGAAAGAAATAATATTATAAATCAATAAATAGTTTATTGAACCCTTTTCAGCACAGTAGTACTACTAATATGATATTGAAATAATGATAGATAATGGGCTCAGTACATATATCGACAAAAGGGTTAGACTGCGGGCAGGTGCATCTACATAAGGAAAAAATCATGGCAAAATAAAACATGGCATATTCATAAGACAAAACTACACACAAAATTTGTCTAAAATCCACACACACACACACACACACACACACACACACACACACACATATATACATCCTAATCTTACTTCAGCATTGGTTAGTAGTATGCAAAAAAATAACTGGTTCCTGACTGAGCAGTTGGTGCTGCTATCTCTGGCTGATAAAAATGTAGAGCAGGAATTAAAGAAAAAGATGTTGAATAGATTAGTTTAGTATAATGTACCTGACAAGTAAAACATTTGAAAACCTGAGCTACCAATCATATCGGAGTTCACTGAAGTTTGAGAACTGGAAGGTCCAGAAATTTGCCTTACGTTGAAAATTGTGGGAAGGAAAAAGCCCTGAAGTCTGTAGATTCAAAAAATTTGTTAAAAATTTGACTTGCATCAACGATTGTGCATAGAGAAACATACAACTTACTAAGGACTTTTTAGGTGGATACAAATCTGACAATATGCAACAAAATTTAATGCTGGTGGCCAGGTATAATAGAAAGAAGCTTTAAAAAGATCTTATCAAGCCCCAGTTAAAAAATATAAAATTTATTATTCCTGAAATTACACAGTTTTGTATTTTCATTAAGAAAATGTACAAAATTTTAGTTTTAAATGAAAAAACAGAATATTACATACTGCTGAAATTGAGGCTTGAAAATGTTTTTTTTATATATATTCGCGATCACAAAAAAATTTACAGGGGATCACATAGAATTTAAAAAAAAATCATTATAACTGTTTTCATAAAAAAAAACTATTAAAACTATTTCATCTTATTTATTTCAAATTTCAATTATAGTAACTTTCAAAAAGCAAGTTTAACATAACTGTGTAAAAATTAGTTTACTAACAATTTATTACTATCAAATTTTTAAAGGTCTCAGCAAATGAGTTAGATTGTGATACCTCTGTAACCATCAAAGTTTACAAAAAGTTATTGACTCATTTAAAGGATGGTTTTATGAAACATCATTTGAATAAGATTCTTTTTTTTTGATTCTTTTTTTACTTAAAATAATAACTATTATTATAGCAATAAAAATAATAAAAAAATTTTTAAAAAAATTAAAAAAAAAAATTTAATATTTAAAAAGGTATGTAAATAAGAAAAATAATGAATGACATGTCAAAAGTCAATTTATCATTCACTAATATGTCCCCTGTTAATTATAAACGTGCTATTTAAAATACATGTCAAAAAAAAAAAAAAAAAAATCTAAAAGTCAATCTGGGTCTCAAAAGAAGCGTATTTTCATAGATATTTTAGAAAAATATAATATATAATTTAAATATTTTTTGACAAAAAAAATTATGTGAAAAAATGCTCTTTGAAAAAGACTCTTTAAGAACATTGTGTTAAAAAAATTTTTAACACAATGTTTCTCAGCAATAATACAAAAAGTTTTAATTTTTACTACAAACGAATATTATATTTAAACATCTATGAAAATACGCCTCTTTTGAGACCCAGGTTGACATACATTTGAATAATTTTTTTTTAACAATATTAGGGATTTTACCCCAAATGCTAAAGATTTGAACCCAAATATCTTTACAACTTGATGTGATGGTGAAAAATGAGTTGCATATTCGAAATCAAAATGAGAAATGCTATACAAAAAAAAAAAAAAAAAAAAAATTGTTTGCTCAGCACCAGAAAATTTTTGTTGTTGTTGTTGACCTGTGTAATCTGCTGGGAATTTTTTTTGTTTGTTTGTTGACCTGTGACATCTGCTGGAAACTCTATAATACTAAATTCCAAGCATTTCATGATGACACCACTGAAGATGGTGAATGCAAAACTAAGTATGCAAATGGTGGATTGTTGGTGTGTGTGTATACATGGTTGGTGTGTGTGTGTATACATGGTTGGTGTGTGTATATACATGGATAAACAGAGAGTAAAGTTAGACAAAAAATAAGTTATTTATCATTTATGCTATTAATCACCTTTTAAAGAAAGTCTTTTTAATGTTTTAGTATGTTGAAGAATGTTGCAAATATGTTTCATCCCCTGAAAACCAATAGCATTCTCAGAAACATCCTAAACAAATGAAATTTTATCTATTTCTTTAAAGTAAAACAAACCAAAAAAATACTTATGTGTATTTTATTATTAAATTTAATAAAAAATAAATTTAAAAAAGTATTATTCAAATTACATTTTAAAATTTAAAACTAAAAAATTCTATAGCTACAACCTATTTTTGTTTCATTAGTTGTTTTTTTTTTAAGTTTAATAATTTAACATTTTATACATCAAGGCAAATCACTTAAAAAAAAAAAATCAATAGAACTTTTCTCAAATAAAAAAAACAAAAAAACAATTGAGCCTTTATCAAAAAAAAAAAAAAGGCTTAAGTTTATGTTTTAGAATGTTTTTGCTTATCTTTGTTTTGCTTAAATTACTTTTTTTTGGAAAAAAAAGAAAAAAACAAAAAATAATGAAAGATAAGATTGCCTTCCTTTGTGACAGCAGGCTACAAGATAGTCTATTATGTACGAGGGTTCGAGTCAAATACATTTGATCAAATACAAATACATTAATTCTAGATTTCCAAATACAAATTCAAATGCAAAAATAATTCAATCAGCATTTTCTAAATACAAATACTAATAAAAATATTTGTAATTTAGGTTAAGAAAAAATGTAAAAAATTTTTTGAGACAAGACTGTTAAAATGGTCAACTATATAGAAGAATGAAAACAAGTCTTTTAATAAATACCTCTTATTAACACACTTTTAATTTATTTTAGTGTTAAAAATAAAAAACAATGAACCTCTTGGTATTTCCCAAAAAAACACCGGTTAACCTAGAATATGGAGCTGCAAATACATTTCAATCAAATACAAACACAAATATTAGAGAAATAAACACACATTTTGTGTAATTTAACCACTTTTCCTTCATTAATTTTTATGCTGATTTCGAACTACTTAATACTTTTTTTTTCATTATAAATTTTTCTTACTTCATTTTTAATAAAAAAAGATTATTTTGTAAAAACAATAAATTGTTAAATTAAGCCATCATTAAGTGAAGCCATTATTACTATTAAGGTAAAGAATCCATGGTAAACATTTTTTTCCATTTTATCCATAAAATATGCAATCATTTTGTGTGGTTATAAATACAACAGAAAAGTACATATAAGGAACTAAATGGGCTGTCTTGTAATTTAAAACAAGATTTTTTTTTGGACGCCTAATGTAAAGTTTTTTTTTTGCTAAACTGCTCTGTCTCAGATTCCCAAAACATTTCTAAATTACCTGAACCTTGATTTCACAATGGTTTGGATATTTAAAGATATTAACACAAAGAATTTTTGTAATTGACTCTGAAGTTGATTGCAATAAGTGCCATGCTGACACATAAGCTAAATGTTATTTATAATTGTAATCAACTGCAAAAATTTCATTAAAAACGTAATACATCAGTTATTCCATTGTTGTATCTTTTTTCAAGTCCATAATAACAGGTGATAACTAAGTTATGCCACAATTACAAAAGTGAATATAATTTTATTATATATGTATTTTATATAATATACATAGTAAATTACTCCAAATAAAGCGCTAATATTTTATTATAAAGTTTAATAAAATTTTTTTACTAACTTTCTTTTTTTTTCAAATTACAGGAAATAGCAAAGTACAAGACTATAAAAAATAAATTGTACAAATTCATTGTTCAGAATCCTAATATAAAATCAAATGAAATTGCAAAGCATTTTATCTGACCTTTTGACTTAAAGCTTAGTATATATTGTTGGATCAAGCAAGTAAAAGAAACTTGTACATTAAAAAAAAATTGCTGTCGTCCAGTAAAATAGCAACAAAAAGTAACACGAGAAAACTAAAAAATATGTTCAAAGAGCAACTGCTAGAAAATTTGGATGCTCTCAATCGTATGTTAAAAATGCGTACTAACATCAAGTATAGAAAAAAAATAAATTAAAAAACCACTTCAAACTAAATAGCTAGCTCAACCCAAATGCAGACAAATTTTACAGCATGGAAATAGTGATTTTTTATTTGATGATGAATTGTACTTTACATTGAACCACGCTGATCAGCCAGCCAATATTCTTGCCTAAGTATTGGGGAATAAAGTCATCGCCTCTGGGTCATACGGGTCATGGTAAATCTTTTCCACATTATATGGGTCATGGTAAGTTCATTATTCCACATATTTTCAAGACTAAAATATTTTTTAAACTTTTTATACTGATTGCAATTAACCAATTAATATTTCTGAAACAAGCGGGTATTTAGAATATTATTTGGAGTGCCAGCTTTGGGTACTAATATAAACCGCTGGTAGAGGTTCGTGCAATGGCTACTGAAGCATTTAAAATTTTTCAAAGTTAAGTATACTATAAATTATTTTTTATTCATAACTTTAAAAAAGGTAGACAATATGTATAGTTTTTCTACCGCTCACTAAAAATATATTGATTTAAGGAATAATTAATAAGTAATTTAAATGGTTAGTGTAGAATAGACTTACCAAGACCCATATTATACAAGTCCAAACAGCGGACATGACAGTCCAGAAAAAAATCTTTTATAAATACTTTTTAAACTTATATTGATGAGCAGTAACATCTAAATGTTTTGTTGACATTTAGATGTTCTTTAATTACCTGAGACAAACTCAGATAATAAAAATAACCATGCCTGAGTGCATGGGTTATTTTACTATGGTTATTGAGCATCAAGAGAGGATTAATTTAAATGTGAAATAAGGAAATTATTGAAATGTGGATAGTATTAAAGAAAATTTAATTATTATGAATAGACTTTATGTAAAATTAGGTATTATTAATAAAATTAATGAAAATTCCGATACTATTAATGGAATTAATGGAGATTTGAATCTTAATTATGAAAGTTTGGATGCAACTTGCAAAAAGTTAAATGTGCACCACAATTGGAACAGAACAAATTGAAAGCATTATAAACAAAAACAAAAAAACTCAAGAATTAAAACTAGACTTGAATTAAACCATGTCTACATACCACAACTACTAGAATGTCAAAATACTTCTTCTAGAAACTTGCGACAATTGGAGAATAACAATAAACTTGATTATAAAAATAAAATCATCATATTATTTATATAGGCAGATAAGTTATTCAAAATCAAGTATAACTAATGAATTTATATTTATTCAGCAACTAATGGATTTATATTCTTTCAGCAAGGTCATTTGTATAGAGATATTATATGGATATGTAATAAGGAATTACTAAAAGTAGTGAGCACATCAAAATTAGTCTCAAAACAAGTCCAAGTTAAAATCACCAATCACAGTTATTTTTTGTTTTATTGTTTCTGATATTTTAGCTAAATTTAACGCATGCTTCATTAGCAAACCAAATTATCCATTATTGTATGTTAGATATACACCTACTTTTATTTTGTTTTACTATATATTTCAAAAGTTAATAACCAGTTTGTCTTAAAGATACCTACGTACAACTAGT